AGAAGAGCTCAGCAATCCGAGGAAGATTAAACTGGATATGGATGCATTTGGTGTCTCTTCAACACCAGGCGCGCTTTTCTTGGTTATTTTTCTGTACTCACAAATTGATGACATATAATCGACATCACCAAAACTGTTGCATGCATGAATTTGTATGCTGCACAAGAGTTATCAGCGTCAAGAGTTTGTTATTGCTAAATTTAATTAGGAAAAGTTGGATCACAATTAATAATATATTGGTTTAATTATGTGAATCTCTCTCTCTCTTGTCTATACTCCTATATATATAACACATGGCCTTGGTAGCCCTTCTTGGTAGATAGATCATAGGCCCTTCCATTACCAACTTCCTAAAATAATAGCTTTGATTAATTTACAGATGGCATCAACATCATCAGCCAAGAAGAAAAATAACCCTGCAGACTCATCATCACTTTGCCAAGTGACCGTTTCCAGTGCACATGATGTAGTTGTTGCTCTGGAAACTAGAGATGAGCGAAAGTTTAGTTTCCGTGTTCCGGAAACTGTGAATGACGGAGATTACATGTCTATCCGAAGTCAAATTCATACTAGTAATGTATGTTACCAGAGAAATGATGTTATTGCCAACCCTAGAGATCTGACACCCCCTCCTCCTCCTGCAGAAGATTTACCTCTATATCAGCACTTTAGAATAATGTAATCCATTAACATTAATGGTGAGATTTTTATACTAATCTGTTTGGTGACTATTGAGTATTGTTAGCTAGCTTTGATCATTAATCTCATATCAGGTGGCTAATTTCTTAACTTCTCTGTCTTAATTGCAGGTTTATGCAGCTGCTGCCTGTTGCTCTGCGGAGTTTCAACTATCTTTAGCTTAATTATGTTTTCTTAGCTTTCAATTATCGATCCTGGACTATTGGGACTGTAATAATAATTACTGGACCTGGTTAATTATTAGGTTATCTAACTTCTTCATTAATATTCAAATGTTGGACTGCTAGTTTATATATGCAGTATTAATGCATGCAGTTCATTTATTTATTTTGTTTTCATGTATGTCCAAAAAACAACTGAGCCTAATGAAGTGAAGTCTCAGCCTTTCTTGCTTATTTATTTCTGGTCAATGGCCTTGCATCATGATTGAAAATCTTCATTACAGTTACACGTGAAGAGATGGACCCTTCTAATCTGACATACAATAAAAGATAGACAAGTGACCCGCATTAATTAGTGCCGAAGTTTCAGATTTTATTTTCAGTTTTCAGACATGGAAACTTGCTCAAATCTTTACGTATGAAGAAGAAGAACATCATCTTATGTTGTTATATGAACCACTAGAACACAAGTGTCCTGTCCCAACAAACTGACAAGCTACATTACGTCTGCGAATTGCTCCAAGATTGTGTCTTGAAGACAAGTTAGCCCAACAGCAGAGGTCACCGTTTGGATGGTCTAATCTGGGCAATTTTTTTTATTTCCTTTTCAGTCAGGTTTGTGATACCTTTTCCTTGTCCATTAGGGATTTTTCATGTGTTGGCATTTAAATTCATGGTTTCAGTTGTATTTCCTAGAATTTCGATTATTAACAGTGAACTCTCAGACCTTTAGGCGAACTAAACTTCGAAGAAGAAGACGATGGAGGCGTCGGAGGTTCCCGTAGCAACAGTGACTCAGCGCAGCCAAAAGAGTGTAGAGAGCCAAGTCGGTCGTATCTACGAAAGCTTCGCCAAACTTCCCCCGGACGCCCAATTTCGAATGTAAAAGATTTTCCTTCTGTTCTTGCTTTTTTTATTTTATTTTATAACCGTTGGTTTGGTTTGGTTATAATAATGAACTTTTCTGGTTGTTGATGTTAAAGGCTGGAACTTAAGCGTGAGAATCATATAGATTACCTAAAAGGGGGTCTCAGACAACTCCCAAGCTCCTTCTGCGGTTTGTATGCCCTGTATAACTCTCTCTCTCCGCCTTTCTCTCTCCTAAATTGGATGATTAAAGTTTTGATTTTTGTGACATATGGTTGGATTTGTTTTGTCAGTCGACCGTGGGTTTGCTTTTGGAATTTGCACTCATTGGCTTTACTAGGAGAGTCTGTTGACGCCCAATTGCAAAACAACATCATTGATTTCCTTAGCCGTTGTCAGGTATGTATGTAATATAAGACAACCACATTGCTCTCTCTGCCTGCTTGAATGAAACACAAGTAAAGGCCGGTGCTTTGAGTTCTCCTCATCAAGTTGTCTTTCTCTTGCATTCCAGGACCCAAATGGTGGTTATGGTGGCGGACCTGGACAGGCAAGTATATGGTCGCCATATTTGCCCCTGGTGGCTTAGTCATTCTTGATGCATAATATTTCCTAATACCTCTTTGGCGTTATTTTTGTCATGGCTTGAATTGACCTACTCATCTCTCATTGCTTCTATGCTGTATTATGTCATGCATTCTTCTGCTTAGATTGTTCATTGTTTTAATCAGATGCCACATCTTGCAACAACTTATGCTGCAGTCTGTTCACTCATTACTCTGGGTGGTCATAAAGCTCTTTCGTCAATTAATAGGTGATTAGTTTATGCTCCTTGAGAACAAACTCACATATTTTACACAATGCAATGCAATTCTGATCCTTCGGGAAGTGATTTGACATGATTTTTTCTTCTACAGAAGTGAAATGTACATGTTTCTACGACAAATGAAACAACCAAGTGGCGGCTTCAGGTTTGAAATCACATTCATTTGTGTGTTCTTTTGGCTTAAAAGTAGTAAAAACTGACCCAATTTTCCAGAGGTATACTTTTGTTTCTAGAAGTTTGGAACTGTATTTGATTCCTTACTTTTCCCCAGGATTCATGATGGTGGAGAAATTGATGTCCGGGCCTGCTACGCTGCAATTTCTGTTAGTCTCTCCTCTCAACACAATTTCATTCATATTTTACTGGTGCACACGCCCATTTTTAATGCATATAACTACTCTCTTCTTGAGCATAGTTCTCAAAACTCCAATATGAACTTCTCTGACTTGGAAATAACAAAAGTTGAACATTTTGTCTCAAATGACTCTTATCCATTGATCACAAGTTCTAATAGAAGTCTGGCCGTATGGCCAAGGTGTTTCCATGTTTTCCTCTATCTACTCCCAAAGTCTTATTGAACTTGCTAAGGCTTGTGCTAGTTGTGCCATCCTTAAATTTGTCCTAAAAGTTGTGGTATTATCTGAATATTCATTGAATTACTTATGGTTCTGTTCTTTACTTACAACGTTGTTATATGCTTGCTTAATTTCAACACTCATTCGCAGGTAGCAAGTATTTTGAACATTTTGGATGATGAACTCGGGCAGAATGTTGGAAACTACATCTTGAGGTTGCTTAAAGCTTGTTCTGCTTGATATGGATTGGCATTTGATTAGGGATAAATTACATTTTCTGTATTTGCAGTTGTCAGACTTATGAAGGTGGCATTTCTGCGGAACCTGGTACTGAAGCTCATGGCGGGTATGTCTCAGACTTCTATCTGTTTGAACATCATTAACACAATTTGCACAATGGCCTCTTTGCCGGATTATGTGGATGAAGTATTAAGAGACGTCGGTTGGATAGATCTATTAGTTTTTGATAGATCCGATAATCTTTTTCTTCAGGTACACCTTCTGTGGGGTGGCAACGATGATTATGATCAATCAGGTCAATCAACTGGACTTGCCGAAACTAATTGTAAGAAAATTTCACGTTGTTTTCAATGAACATGTTTTGAACCTCTCCAATCCTAAGACAAATGTTGTTCTCTATTGTAATTGGTGTTAGGATTGGTTGGTATTTCAACAAGGGAAGGAGTGTGGATTTAAGGGGAGGACTAATAAATTGGTTGATTGCTGCTACTCCTTCTGGCAGGTGATTTTCTTTCCTTCATCTGTTTAGGGATTCTTCTTCATCGTCTTATAGTTGAATTAATTGATATAACCAGGGAGGTACTTTTGCATTACTACAAAGAGCATGTTCAACTATTGATCAACAACTGGTGATCCCTGTTGGGGGCAAAAGTTTTGAAGGTAGGCTGACTTAGACAAGTTTCAGATGTTTGGCCATGTATTCTTGCTTCTTCTTTTTTGGCTTGAAATAAATTTGCCTTTCAACACCCAAATTTTGTTTCGACTTGCTAAAATTTGCCTCTTTTTTTTGCTGTCTGTGCAGTAAATTTCAATGATATTGGTCATAATTTTGTCAAAAGAAGGGTAGAAATGGAGCCACTTTTTGATGGACGTGCATTGCAGCTATACTTACTTTTATGCTCACAGGTTTGGTTTTCAAATACCACCTTCCATCTATAGTTCTTCGAGTTCTTACTTTCCGGGGATTAATATTTTAACTTGATTTGGTTGACGCAGGAGGAGAATGGTGGATTAAAAGACAAACCTGGGAAATCCAGAGACTTCTATCACACGTGTTATGCTCTAAGTGGTCTTTCTGTAAGTCAACATATCTGGTCAGATGATGTGTCTCTACTGATGCCGAGAGCAGTGTTGGGTCCCTATTCCAATTTGTTGGAACCAATCCATCCCCTCTTCAATGTTGTCTTAGAACGCTATCACGAAGCGAGAGACTTCTTTACAACATTCTGACTCAGTAATATTATTGTCCTTTGAGGTGATGTGACTTGTGGAATTGGATTGAATTATAGGTATTTAAGTTCTGTACACATAACATATACTCACATCCAAGAATGAAAAAGCAGATTTTCCAGTTGACACAATTTGGATTTGAACCCTTCATACCAAGCTCAATCAACGAAAACTTGTATACCATGGGGACAACACTCTTCTGCTACGGCCACTTTAATGTTTTTAGGCACAAACCTTTAACAAAATGCAGCTCCTAACAAAAAGTTTTAAAAGCAGATGCAGAACTGTGATAATAACAGAATGGATAAATATACGCTACCATATTCAGCCAAGTGTAAAACAGAAACTGGCCAGCAACCCCTACGCGCACAGATACTACGAGCAATATTGAAGGCATCAAAATATTTCAACAGGAGTAAGTCACAGGTATGGGACTTTTCATAAGCCATCATCTCTAATGTATGGTGCACGCTACAAACAGCATAAGCTGACAAAAAGTTCCGGTATGTATTATACATCTATCTACGACAAAACAGTGCTTCCAAATCCAAAAGCAAGCCCTAATCTGGAATTTGATCATAGTCCCCATTTTCTGGAGATTGGTGTGCTGCACGACCTGCTCTTCCTGCAAAATAAAATATCACCTTTAAGACTCTCTCATAAGTCATACCTGCGAGCAATGTCTATCTATAGAATCTTTTATAATTGTGAACGTGTGGTGAGAGGGAATTATACCTGTCAATTCATAAGCACCAGTGCCTCTAGCATCCGGACCACCCCTCCAATCTGTGGGCCGTGAAGGTGCGACATGCATGCCCTGAATCATAAAATGACTTCCTCCAATAGCTTGCTGATCATCATTTCCCCGGACGAGAGTTCTTCCAGAAGAGTCAACTGCCGAGCGGAAGCTTACGTTCATCATTTCCCCAGCTGTTGGCAACTTGGTAGCAGAAGCATCACCCTTTACACCAGCAGTGACATCCTTCTTGGCATCAACCATAAATGTTCCGACAATAACCTGTAGGTGCAAATAGCAAGTGTTTCAGAAATACAGCAGAACCGTTTATCAAACATGCCAACTGAAACGAGCAGAGACTGCAATTAAGAAGAAAATATTACAGATATGTCCCAGTGCCTAATAACATGGAAAAAATCAAATTGAGGCATCAGATGACATCCAAAGCACCAAGTCAACTATATGGTTAGCAACCCAACCCCTCCTTGCTTCAAGGCAGAGACAGAAGTAGCTAGTATCTTCTGCCACAGTTGTGCACTAACAACATATTATGGACATCTGATCAACAAAAAATCACTTTTTCTAAAATAGTACCTGCACAGGGCCTGCAGCCTTCAGGGGCCCACCAACTCCACCGCCGATGATTTGCCCATCTGTACTAGATAGGCACACACTCAGCCCACCAGCCCTCCCTCCAAGGTCAGTACGTACGTAAGACCCAGACAGTGAAATAATCTCAAAACGACCCTAACATCAGAAAGAAATCATTAAACTTTGATGGAATAAACATGAGGCAGATGATCAAGAAGTCCCAGTTCAATCTGTCAAGTTAACTGGCAGTATAAAGGACTTAACCAAACATAAGTTGAATCTTTTGAGCAACTAATGAAATACTTTTTCAGCAGCATATGCACATTTCAAAACAATTTATTTACATAATTTTTGTTTCACAATTCCACAAAATTTCTGGATAGAAAAAGCATATGCACAATTCTAAAACTAATATTTTTATTTTTATTTCTAAATAAACCACTATAGTCATTTAGCAGCCAAAACAGAAAGCAAAAGAAAGAATCTTAAAATTCATTGTCATTTCCTCCCTTTTCTCCTCCCTAACTACGCACCCACACATAGAGGAAAGACACCTTGCCTAATTATAATTGTAGCAATGAATCCTACCTGAATAAATTGGATGATAATAAAATCAAACTTCAGCCACCCAAATCGCTATGGATGGTGTACTTTTTCATCAATCATATGGTGTATTCCTTGGTAGAATTTGCATGCCAATATGGCTTTCAAACCAGAACTGTTATTTTGAAGTGATAATTGTTATTTTCAGATTTTGGAACGGCAGCTGTGCCGTATCTCAAATTAACTAAATGAAGACCCGCCAAAAAATTAATCTGAACTTGTACATTTAGGCTCCTTAAGAGAGCACACAGATAAATTAACCTGTTAGTTGCCAACAGTGAGCACAGTTGCCCTATTGTTGCCCACCAAGAATCTAATACCATCTGGAGACTCACTAATGCAAAGCAGTGACCTAGTATTGTACATCTAGGCTCATATACACATACCTTGAACAAAACACTAAATATGATACTCCAAATTTGACTTCAAATACAATTTCTTGCAAGATAACTGCTGTTTCTGATATTTACTTTTTTCTTTTTTCGTTACAAAGTGCATCACCGCAGTTCCCATATGAATGGGTCAAAAGACTAAACTATCCCACTTGGAAAAGGTTGAAGAATTTTTTTTTACCTCATATGTAATGTTGCCTCCTGAAGTAGCTGGCTGGCGGAGAGAAGCATTTGAAATTGTACCAGAAGCAGACAGAATGCATATTTCACGCTTACTCTGTTGCATGAAAAACATAATTTTCTGGCCCACATCCTGTTAGACGTGTCACTAAACTGTGTGAGCAGATAATAAATAAAGAAAAAATAACAATGGAAACACTCTATAATAAAGATGGCACATAAATAAGGTACGATCAGGCAATTGTTGATATTTTAGAAATACAATAGTAACTGCACCAACAAAAAACCATAAACAAATTCAAGGAATTATTCTGTATCCAAGATCGGCATGTGACACATTTGAAACACAGATGTGAAAAGAAAAAAAAAGTATTTCATGCAATCAGAAACGAAAGAGCTACAATCCAGTATCTGCAATTTATGGAAGAAAAGGGTGAAGTTAAAAGGAAAATAATGAATTAAACTGTCACGGTATTCCTAAACTAGCTACGCTATTGCTTTGAGAATTAATTAGGACATGCATACCTCCCCAGCAGCTACAGTTAAAACATGTGGTGTAAAACCTTGCCCTGCATTGCCTACATCAACCAATTAAGAGGAAAAGCACAACATGAGTGTGTTAAATTATAATTATTTATACCCACATTGTCAAACAAGAAAAAGACATTAAAACAGCATTCAATAAAACATATATACTTCTTATGAGCAAATGAAAACATTATACAAGGAAAATAGGTTAGGTTAGCTGGTCACCTAAGCTTTAACCAAGCCCTTTTTTTTTCCCTAATTTTACATGACATCACAGAATAATAGAGGTTATAAATAAATACTGGGACAGAAAGGACCTTCAGAAGTGGGAAGAAAAAATTCATATTTGGCAAGTAATATACAACATTCTTATATGCAAATAGGTTTTAGATCAACTAACCACTGTGAACTAAATGTCGAGTTATTATCTCCATTCTCAATATAAAATCTAACAGTAAGTGTGAGAAGTTCTAGAATTCTAAAGAACAAAACAAAAAAGTCTTGCAAACCACAAAAACCTTGTGTCATCTACTGATAGAAATTCAACGAGCAATCCCAGTTTTATACTTCCATTAAACCATTGAAATTACTTTTTCATGCATCGTGATTGTTCCCGGTTGCTAAAATATGCCACTTTGGACTATAATATTGACATATGCCTCACACAAGTCTTCATTTGGGACGGGCAGAAAATCTTTTATCCAGACAGGAGCTTGTACGAGTTTCTTATCAATATCTCTCTCAAGCCAACCAAAGTTTCCACTCCATAAGGTGTGTGATCTGGAGAGAAATTTGGTTCATGTGAATAAAATTACCAATTATATTATGTTCTCTTTGTATTTCCCCAAAAGCTTCTCATTTGAACAAGTGGAGGTCATACTATTCTATTTCAAAATTAATGTTTCAACTATGCCCATCATTTGGAAATAGTTAAGTTGAATTATGATAGACCTACATGACAGAAACTGGATAGAACAAGGAGAGTGAAGACACTAAACAGGCATATAAACAATGCAACCAAAAACATGTATAAACTCAGGCACTGCAACAAAACCCTCTAAACTACAACGAATTCACAATAAACCATGAAAAAATAAAATAAAAAAGAACTAATAACAAAGAGGGCAAGCACTAAGAAACAATGGATGTTAAAAAGCCCACATAAAACTGGAGCAGTTTGCAAAAGAACCCTCCTAGAATAAAAAATTTCCCAACCAAACACAAATAGGGTATTTCCAGAATACCCACCCAGAACAACCAAGTGTGAATCTTTCAAGACAATGCAACCAAAAGTTTGAAACACATATAGAAATTGAAGCAATTTGCAATAAAGACAACAAATTTCACAACCAAACCATAGAAAATCCAAAAGGCCATTTGCAACCCACCAAGAGAAAACTGCTGAGATTTCTTGGTAGACCCAGAATAAGAAGGCGAGGCAGAGCCATGGTGGTCCTTTTTCTCCTTAGAGGATGAGGAGTGAGATGACGTCGTCGCCGCCTTCTTGGCTGCCAAAGCCTGTTCCGGCGTGCCATACTTTCTGGGCCTTCCTCGCTTCCTTTTCGCGGGCTCAAGTGGCGAGGTCACCGCTGAGGAGGGCACCGAGTGAGAGTACACCATGTGGGACCCATCAGTGGAGTGGGTATTTGGTAAGAGCCCATTGGTCGGTGATGCAGTGTTTGTGGCTGTGACAGTTGCGGCGGTGCCGGTGCCGGTGGTGGTGGTGGGGTGTTGGAAGTAGGAGCTCAGTTGGTTTTCATTAGGTTCCATTTTGAGTTTTAGAGAGAGAGAGAGAGCGTGCGTCTGTGTCGAATAACAAATTTTTTTTTATTTTTAATTTTACTCTTTTTAATTTTAATTTTGGTTGGTTTTTCTTGGTATGCGTTTTTGTATGTGTGGTGTGATTTTGGCCGTTGGATTAGGTTTAGGTTTGATTAGACATTTGACTCGAGTCTCTACTGCATATTTCTTTATTACGTTGTTCTTTTTTAATTAGGTTTTCATTTGAATAATCTAATATCTATCTGATTCTATACTCATCTGTAATAAATTCAAACTCAGCAATTTCTAATCTTTAAAATCCTTAACGAAAATAAAATTAAAAATTACTTCTTTCATTTTATGTGAGGCTAATTGTATTTGTTTTGGTGTTCAATTGCTGTTAATTTGGCACCTCACCAACAACCCTAGAGATAATACATGCCTCTTAGCGGGGCTATGTCCAAAGTAAGTAGAATTAACCATTTTCTTTTGGTTTGTTCAGCAGAAGAACAATAATATGAATTATGGTTCACATCACAAATATATGAAAAATAAATTAAATTGTTGCTTTTATATGTCTAAACAATTGTCTAGAAGAATATTACAGACTGTATACTATAATAACTCATGAAGTGATAGACTTGTTTAATAAATCCAAAAACAAAGTGGCAGTTGTTTCGGTTGAAAAGAGGGAACCGTTTTATTTAAACAAGAAACAAAAAGTGATAAAACTTTTTTCCTCTTTCTCCCTGGTTGGAGACCTTTTCTTTTTGGATACAATACAAGTTCGAGGCCTTTTCTCTCTTGCAGTTTGTGAACACAAAGAATCATATATAAAAGCATGGACTTTCTTCGAAATTTCAAACTTTTGTGCATTTACTCACAGGAATGTTCTTATTAAAAATTTGGTGGAGTTGATCATGCATGAGAGCAGCACAGGGATGACAGAAGCACCATTTTCAAACAAGAAAAACGACACTGAGATCACAGTGAAGGAGCAATATGGTCAGTTTTTTTTTAAAAAAATTATTGTCTGCGGTGTGTAAATACTAAATACTAAATACTATATAGGGTTGTTATAGGTGGAGATTCTGATGACAAAGAAATTGTGCAACTGCAAATTGAGGGAAGAGACTTGTCTTTGGTAGATGGGACGTATGATAAGCCTCTTGCATGCTTTGGTTGTGGCATTGGATGGTTCTCGTGAGTTCTATAATTCCAAGATGCTTACTTTTTCCTTCCAATTAGAGGACAGAAGAGATTGATTTTGAGTTTGAATGCTTCTTATAAATAGGTTTCTCTTGGGATTTGCTTTTCCACCAATATGGTATTATGCTACTGTGCTTTATTTTGGAAATTATCTTAAAGGCCCCAGAGAGCGACCTGGCCTTGCAGCATCTGCAATTGCAGTAAGAATGACACCAAAAATGCTTTGCCTTTCATTTTAATTGCAATGAGATTTTGTTTTTCCTTGTGCTGAAAATCATATTGGTGCAGGCTTTAATTTGCTCAGTCATTGTCTTGGTTACTCTGCTTGCTGTTTTCTGGTAGCAGATGCTACCAAGTTTCTTCCAGAAAAGCAGAGGACGTAGCCAAGTACTGTTGGATTATCAATCAAATTGAAAATATTAGTAGTTAGGAATGTCATCGGCAAATGTTCTCTTCTGCCACCGATTGTTGTAACATTTTAGGTGTTCTCTTTTGCCTCCTACTGCACATGTTTTAGTCATTATCTTCATAAGCCGATCTCAAGTCTGTGTTATTGGACTTCTGTTTTACTTTCTCTCAAAATTTTGTTGATAACTTTTGCAACATAGGGCAAGAAACAAACTCAGGAAGAATTTAAGTAAATATATCTTCAGTATCACAATATCTTGCTGAACAGCCAGAGTTTAAAGACAAAAGAATACCCGAGGACCTTAAAATTAGTAGATATCTCACTGCAGTCAGTTAAACAAAACCACAGCCTCTTCTCACCAAAAGCATACAACGATTAAAGTGATCACACAAACACTAGTTGAGATGCACACCCACAATATGAAGTTCTGGCGTGTACTGTGGATACAACAGCCAGGGAACCATGGCTCCTTTTGTTTGATATATTTACAAGAAATAAAGGTTTCCCTTAGCTTAGCAATTTACAAAGTCCTCCACCGCTCTTTTAGAACTTTTCCTTTAGGGCCTCCTCATCAGTGGTCTCTTTGTCTTTGATAGAAACTGGTGCCACATTAGGTACTTGTGAACTCTTAAGTCCCTCTAGCTGCAATACAGAGCATAATTAGGTGACTTATATAACAAAGTGGGAGTAATGGGCATACACAGTTCAAATGAACATCAGAAGCAAATGCAACCATACATATCTCAAATATTCCACCACAGGGAACGCCTTAGTTTACTAAAGCTATACCACATATTAATAGTCATCTAATGAGTTGGTGTAGCAGATATCTTTTATTACTCAACCGACCTCAATCCAAAAGAATTACAGTAGTTCAGATTGATATATTGCCAATTACATTGGAAAATGAGGAGGTGTATTGCAATGCAAACAATGAGGGGTCAAGATGGATACATGCACATCAGTGCTGCAATCCATCTATAATCAACTTTGAAGAGACAAACCACTCATATTTTCAGTGATTCCAATTCAAATTGTACACAACTATTACACTTTCAAATACTTTAACTTTATTACTCAATTGATCATACAAATAGCAGGGTGAGTCAGTAGGTCTTTTGCACTATGAGTATGTAACATAACTTAAGTTGTATATTTCTATGATTTCTGTCCATCTCTCCCTAATTAACTATGTAATCATAATGCATACTGAAGGGGTCATACTTATTTCTTGCCTTCACATGTTAATACTTAAGTTCACAACTCTGTCCATCTGCATTTGATGAAATTATTAACACAGTTTATCACCCTATAGGCAATATGGTGTCTGAAACTTAATGACGCCTCTTAGCCAATGCTTAGATTAAGCTCAAAGTACAGGTGGATTCAAAATCTAGAAAAGTACCTCAGTGCAGGTTTCTTGGTGTGCTGCCAAAAGTGTGTTATACTTTTTCTGCAACTCTGATAATTCAGCCTGTACCTTTTCATATTCTGACACAGATGGACCCCCTAACTTTTGTTGAACAAACCTGTCAAAAAATTATAAATAAAAAATCAAAATATATCTGAACATTTGCACACCGGCATAAGCATGGAAAAAATTATCTCACAAGACAATTCTATTTGGATGTGATACATGAAACAAAATACATTTGTTAGCACAAACCAGAACAAACAGAATAACACAACTAAGCACAACTACTCAACACTTGCAAAAATAAAAGATGGAATATTGCAATTACAACTTAAGTACCATTTCCAAGACGAAATGATACACAACTGAAATAGCATTCTGACAAAACCCCGTAAATATAGAGTACTTAATACATAACAAGCACATTATGTTCAAAGCCTCACAATTTCTACTAGTACGCTTGTATTACAAATATCCTAAAGGTTAAAGATTATATTGGGCAACAATGTGCAATGCACAATGACAATGAGATACTTAAAAAGAGAAAGCAATACCCGGTAAAAGCTAAAATATAACTTTTGATAAAGTGATGTGGAAGAATGAATAACTAATAATAACATATGAATTCTTGGGTAAATACCATATGATTTCAGCCTAATTAATAAAAACTGAAAAAACTGGCAGTATAGCTGTTGGTATTAGTTGAGCTAGCAAATCATTTAAAGCTTGATTCTTGGTTCAAATAGAGCATTTGGATCACAGAGTCAAGGAGATGAACTCACTCAAGCGCAGAGGAAGGTTTGTCATTCTGCTCATATAACGCAACCAGAACTGTCCCAGAGAAAATTACAAAAATAAAGAGAATAAATGAAAATGTACATAAAATAATTTATATAAAAACAACCCAACCCACAAAAACAAAAAAGGAAAAGACTTAAGCTTTACATTAAGAAACGGAAAACTTGATAGAAGTCAGAAGGAGAGAGCAACAAACCTTTGGTGAGGGCATCAAGAACTCCACTGGATTCTAAGTACTTCCTAAAAGCTTCTTTCTTTGCCTCTTTTTCCTGAACATACATTCACCAGACAGTGATTAAACCTTTTTCATGAAAGACCCAAAAAAAAAAAATGAAAGAAATAAAAATGGATCATACCTCTTTGTAGTGCATCATGATCTTCGCCTTCTATTTTCTTTGATCTGCCGTGGTGGGGGATTTCTGTTTTTCTTGCCTTCGATTTGGTCTAGCCGTAAATGGAAGCTCTCGTAGTGTATGGTATTGACATGGGCCTACCTTACCGCTACCAGTCCAATCCAAACCATTGTTTTCGTCATGTTTCGACCACATGGGCCTCCATTTCAAATGATATTGGAGGTCTTTTATATTATTATTATTATTGAAATATTGACGTTGGAGTTTAAAGTTTGTATCATTAGGAGGCATTGCAAAAAACCCAATGTTGTTTTCACTGTCCTATTCAGATTTTATTGTATTTTGTTGGATAGAAAATGGACATTTTGATGCATGTTTGAATGCACACCCAAGTTCTCACCATTTAGATTTAGACGATTTTACGAGTGAGAGCCATATGACTTTTAGGTGAGGCCGTATCTCTTAATCGTTAGATCAAACTAATTAACCATTGGATCAAATTGATTAGTATAATTCAACGATTAAGAAATAAAACCTCACCTAGCCGTCACTATAGAATATTTGGAGCTGTTCATTTTGGCCCCAGCGTCTAATATGAAAAGAGATCCACCTTCTCCCATCTTTCATTCGATGGTCGAAGAAGTGTTCAATCCAATTAGCAAATTCAGCTCGTAGATCAAATCATATTCATAGTGCATGACAGTGGGCCCATATCACCAGTCCATGGAAAGCTTAAACTTTTCTTCTGTAACATATATATATGAAATTGGTGCAATCCCAACAATCAATTACAGGGAAGACTTTAAATCAACATCGCTCAATCTCTCTCTGTCCCCACACACGCGTACGCAAACACTTGATTGGTGGAGGAGCAAAATAATGAACACGACGTGGGGAAAGGAATTGCATGAAATGCACCAAAACTTTCACCATGATAACAACGTGGGAAGTAGCAACACTGGAAGCATTACTAACAAGCCGTATTGCACAAAGGAATCGACATCTTCAATTTTTTCCACCTTGTCATTAATAGTATTCCACAAATGTCTGAAAGCACCCTGTTGTTCCTGCAGCATTCATTCCTTCCCATCACGAAAATGTTGTAAAGAAACAAAGCTTTTTGAACAAACAGAAGGGAAGGGATATAAAAAGTCACCTCTTTTTTGGGGTTACTGATTTGATCTTGACCATTTGAATCTGCCAAAATTCTTCTTTCATTGTCATTGGCTGGTTGATCAAGGGGCATCTTGATTTCAGCTCTGCTGAAACTTTTTACTGAAAGGGCTTTATAAGTGGAATCAGTATGTATAGTTTCCATGACTGAACCAAAGAAGTTTGTCACAGGCACCTAGAGAGAGTATTTCCCAGCATCAAAGTAAAGCAAGCAACTTCAATAGCTCCAAATTGAGATAATTAAGTTTAAAACTTCCCTACCTCTTCCAGGTGTTGCTGGTATAGATCTGTTCTGTAATATGCGGTTGACATCAACAAGGTTGGGTTATAGGAATTGAAAAGACTGCAAAATGATAATCAAATCCCACAATAAATATTAATTTTGAAGAAAAATCACTTACACTGTAATGGTTCTGTACACTTTGAAAGATATAATTGCCACAATGAAATAGGTATGCAATTTCTTAAATATACCTGCTCAATGAGGCATTGTCATACATATTTAGCCTCTCAAAGAACGCAAGGGTGTAAAATGTAAAACGATCTACAACAGAAACACCAACCTGTATCAAGCAAACAGTGTGACTATAATTAGATGAAATGCCAGTAAGTGGTATCAAATACCTGGATTTTTGATTAATCAAGAACATGAAATAGCATTCTCAGTCAAATCAGTATAAATATTAAAAACATTTTATGCCAACAAATCCACCATACATCAGAGTCCAAGTGATGTGAGTAAGAGTTCTCCCCTTTCATGCTACTTCCAATAGCCAAAACTCCGGGTGATTGAAGCTGCAAAACTCAAAATATGATCTTTCATTTAGTATAAAAGCATGTGAATAGAACAATTTCATCAAGGATACTCTCTTTTCAGATTATGAAACTATTATACACAATCATAAAGAATTTGTCACTGTGCAATGAAGTCAAACAAATGTTTCCATTCAACCTATCCTATCTGCAAAAGTGTACACCAGGATGGTATATTTTGAGTTTAAGTTTTTTTGCACATTCTTTTTAAACATTATAATTTCAGTCCGAAAAATTGAACGAAACAGGATATAGCTAAAATATATTATGCTTTTCTTTTCTAAGAACAGGAAGGAGCAAATCACAAACCTGAGAGAAAAGAGTGGCAGCTTGGCAAGTGTCCACCATTATCAGCAGCTCCTTGAATCTAAAATTTTGATCACGTTATCAACTTCATATGAGTTCATTTGTCCCGCAGTGACGATCAATAGGAACAGTCATCAACATGGATATAACAACATGTAAAATATAAAAAATTGTCCCAAACTAAATTGATAATTGATAATTTCATAAGAAATGTAAATTATTGTATTCATCTGATAATCATTTTCTCCTTATTTCTAATATTAAAATGTAAGAAATTCTTATACAAATGTAAAAGGCAACAGTGGTAGAGGTAAAAATTCCTAACCTATGCTTTTCTTTCATTTGTTTAACTGCATCAGCTAAATCATGACTCTGGAGCTCTTCTGAATCTTGAAATTTTAAAAATTCATCTCCTCCATGTCCTGTCATATACAAAAGAATGTGGCTTCCTTCATCACTCAAAAGACGCTTAGATCTTGGAACAGCATTCTCATGACGCCCAGTCAATACACGTAAAAAATTTTCAACTGTCACTTCATAGCCTCGATAATCCACCTGATAGATTCAGTTTGGTAAATCAGCCATATTTGGAAAACTATTTGAAGCAAAGTAAAAGACCTAAACAGATAGAAGAAAGCTCACCTCAACATTATCTCCATACAAGTTGAGTCTGTGGTTTTCATTGTTAAAAACTTGGGCAGGATACTTGTTTCTAGCATTACAGGCCATGTCATCTGCCAGCATAAGTATTATTCTCTCATCAGGTATTCCAAGTCGCTTAACAGTCCTGTAAATCAAAAGAAAAACACACTGAAGTAACCATGAAAGAAATGAAAGAATGACAGACAAGAAGATGATCTAGGAGGAAAAGACGGTGTTCTTACCGATACAGGGATAAAGTATTGGCCATGTGTCGATAATTAAACCTGAAGACAACATTGGGATAGGTAAATCAAATTTCAATATTGTAGAACTATGAGATATTGAAATAGGTAGCTCAAGATTCTTTAAACTAGTTCATTACAATGATTACAAGAATTCAGTGACATATATTGATTCTTTCAATGAACCCTTAAGATGAAAATAGGAAGACTTCCGTTTACGTAGTGTCCCTTAATGCTTCAATAATGTTTAAATTAAAGTACTTAATGCAAGAGAGCCAAGCAAGGTGAAAGAACTGTAGTTTCTCTCTAAAAGAAGACTGAATATGTGATAGAGACAGCTCTATTCAACTCCCCCAGCATTGAAAATATGAAATGCTGAAACAAGTAGATGGCCATTTCACAAGTTTAAACCTATACCAAAGCCGAAGATGAATTAGTGTACATTCATGCATCCACATCTAGAAAAATGGTTATGGTTCATAGAGTACATATTTCCAACTTCTCTTTTGCATTGTTGCCAAGGATGGTAAAAAAAACTGAGCAAATAAACTAGAAAGTGCTCATGGATGGATACGATCCACATAGTAAGCAAACTAATAATCATATCAAACACACCCGAATTTTTATCAAAAAATTAAATTAGTAAAAGATAAAGTAAAGAAACTTTTATAAGGCTATCGGAAATTATAAAATGGGCGATATCTATTTCACACAGAAATAGAAAAAAGACAAGTGAAAAGAGCAAAACAAAGTTTGAATTACCAGAATCGAGAGGTGCAGACCAGAACAGCCCAATTGTTAGTGTGCATAGTGGTCTCAGAAGAAGAAGGAGAACCAAACGCCATGCATTTGGTGACAGTGCACGGACCCAGAAGCAATAACGCCGCCGCCACCACTATGGATTTGAATAAATTGCACATCTTGTAGCGGATGCTTGAATTCTTATGAACTTTGGGTACAACTTGTTAAAAAGAAAAGAAAATCTGGGTGGGTATAAATGAGGGAGCAAGCAAATCTTGCCTTGAGCTTCTATGGAATTAGAGACCCAAATCTGTTAATGGCACAACGAGGCTTGTCATCTCGATAATTTTCTTTCCCTCCCAGAGATTAGCAGCCTATATCTCACTCTTCTTCTTCCCCTTCTCTTTATTTATTTTTCCTGTTACGTTATTGAAGGCCGGTAGACATGTAAACTTGACCCGCTATATAGTTGACCCGCCACGCCAAAACCAAACAAAGCTGGCCCGAAGACAAAAGAAACAATAAGCTGGTCCCCGAAAAGCCCAATAAAATCCCAGAGAGGTCACAATCCAGTCAAAAACCCACTTGGCCACCTGAAATTCATCACCTCCCAATTTCCCAAACCTTAAGACGCTCAAGCTGAAGGGCAAGCACCCATTCACTTGCTTTTAAGCTAAGCATTCTCTCAGGTACGCTCTTTTAAGCTACACATTCTTTCTTTCTTTTATGCATGCTTTTGTTTAATTGATTCTCTTTCTTTCTTTTGATATAATTGATGAATGGGGCAAAAATGGTAGATGGGCTAATGTAGTTACCGTCTTTCGTTTCCATTTGATTGCTTAGAGTAGGGAGTGAAGGTGATAACGTTCTGGGTCTTATGTTCTCTGTTGTATCAGTATCGGACAACTTGCAAGATGAAAACTTTAAGGTGTCAAAAGCAATTTTTGTTTGGCTTTGCTGAGGAAAGTTTTGGTCTTTTTCCTTGACGGATTTAGTACAATGTAAATGAGTAACCAGATTATAGACAAATTCTGGGTTCAAGTGTTAGAAACTTTGAAGTTTGGAGCTTGGGTTTGTTTCTTTAGAACTGGTGAAGGGCAATTCCGCAATTCAGCAAATTGGTTGCAGGGCTCGTATGGGTTCAATCTTGTTCTTTTGCCCTCAATCCCTCTTCTTTCCCGAATTCGCGAGCCAAAGCTTATTATCTAACAATTATTTTAATTTCAGTTGCATATTTGGTTATAGTTTGAAAAAAAAAATCTGAAGTTGAAAACAGTTCTAGCGATATGTTGCTTACCAGATTATGATAAAAGATTGCTGAGCAATATAGATCAAATAAACGTCTATCGTCGCTGATGGATATCATTACTAGGTTATGTTGATATAAGAAAATATTTTAATTTATCAGTAGTAGTAGTGTTTTAAATCATGGACAACTGGTGACTTATAGATTTGTGTCTTTTTATGTCAATTGAGATGCTTTAATATTGGATATGATCTGCTACACATTATTAGGACTGTACTCGTACAGTGGAGCATGCTCTCCGCACAATTTTATGTGTCCAGATGAAGGGTCAAAAGAGGTCTGCAAATGATATTCATGCTACATTGACTGATGACATCCTACACGAGATCCTCCTTCGACTGCCAGAAAAATCTGTTTTCAGTTTCATACTCGTATCAAAGAGGTGGCTTCGTGTGATATGTAGCTCTTCTTTTCGAAAGGATTACCATGCTCGATGGAGAATAAATTTTCATCTTTTGGGCTTCTTTGTGTGCAATCATCTATACCTTGGAAGATCTAAACATGGCATACGCCGGCCCCCATCAGAGCGTGCACTTCATTTATTGTCAACTTGTGAGGAAGGCGATAATTTACTGGTTTCTGGGATCCCCAAACAGCTTGGCTATTTCATTGACTCTTCCAATGGCCTTCTTCTTTTCGGCCGCCACCCAATGACATATTCTGTGTGGAACCCAATCACCAAACAGCTATGCCGACTTCCTCAACCTCAGCGGTACTATAAAAGTTTGTGTATTGCATTCTTCAGTGTCACCGAGGAGTGTTTTGATGACATCATCCACTACAAGGTTATTCGGGCAAGATGTGACTGCAGACGTGATGAAGTTAATACTGTCTCCATTGAGACTTTCTCTTCAGTGACTGGTACATGGAAACATTATACGCTCACTTGCTCTTCAACATTTGCCCTGCGTCCTTGGGCAGTGGCTACTGTAATTAGTGGTGTCATATACTGGTTTGCAACCCAGGGAAATCTAGCCATTTATGATCCACGTCTTGGAGATAGGCGTATAGTTTTGCTTAAATTACCAGATGGTAAGATTTCTCAAGATTATGATGAGTGTGTTCTTGGGGAGGCCCCAGATGGGCTTTTGCAGTATGGTCAGAGCAGCACATCAGGCATGGAGATATGGGTTCTTGAGAGGGAAGGAAATAGTTTCTCATTAAACGTGCAATCACAGAACAGGTGGAATTTAAGGTACAAACTAAGTTTCAAAGCAATGTGGAAGCAAAATCCAGACTGTGCAAAGAATTCTAAAGAAGCTCAAATATTGTCATTCATTCCCCAGAATTCTGAATATGTCTTCATAAGGGCTGGATGGAACATATTTCTCTTTCACCTTAAAAGCCGAAGGCTTACACTGATTCCATATCTTGGTCGTGACTCTTCTATTCAATGGGATGACAGTCAAGTAATGCCATACTTTAGACCTTCTTGGCCGCGCTCCTGTTTATGCCCCTAAAGACTTACGGAGGAGAAAGTTGTAGACATCTATTTCATACGATCCCTGCAAGTGACCTGTGTTGCATTTAGTTGTTTTATGTAATTAACATATGACAGTTTCCTTAGAATATTGCGATGAAGTTATTTTTGCTGTTATATATATATATATATGTGCATAAAATTTTCTTTTACCTTTTTATGGCGACTTCAGTATTCTTTTCCCCCTTTCTCTTTTTTCTTCTGTTTAAAGATTCTTTTATGACTATTGATTGATATGCATTTTCTGGTGCGGTGGAAAACAGCACTGGTAATTGTAAATGGTTGTAACATGTAAAGTAGAACATTAGAAAGGCTCTGTTTACAAGTAGAACATTTGGGCAGGGCAGGGCAGGGAACCACTGGTTAGTTTGGAGCTTGGATCTTCAGCTCCCCAAAACTGTTTAACAGTGGAAGGAATCATATACAAGTATAAAAACCAAATCTTTGTAAATGCGTCTGCCAGTTGAAGCAGGGGAGATCCTAAACTCTTTCATATTTATTATTTTAAAGCATGTTTCTGAAAGACAAAACTTTCTGTTCTGTTTAAAAGAAAAAAAGCAGGACGGAGGTCGGCATCACATTCAAATACAAACACAGAGGAAAAGAAAGAAAATCCAGTCCGTTAAAACTTTTCGAAGACTTTGATCCCAATCCAACGGTTTTCATGACGAGTAGCAAATGTTTACAATACATTCAGATACACAAGATTGGAACATCCCCAGACCGAGAGAACACTATGACACAAGGAGATGTACCGTTAAAGAAAGAGAGAGAAGACTTGGTTAGTAGCCACTAATTGGCGCGCAAACAAAGGAAAGCAACCGAAACAAGAGGCCCTTCTGAAGAATGTCACTCCCACAACCGACTCGATCCACATTCACTTCCCACACACAATCACACAATCAAAACTTTCCCACTTCACCAATCAACCAATCTCTGTTTCTCTTTCTACCCCTTCCCATTTTTTCCTTCACTTTCTTGCCAACTTCCCCGGAAAATGGAGTTTTTGTCTGACCCCATTAACCTCGACTCTTGTTCATTCTCAAAAGTTTGATGGTTTTGCTCAAAAGGGTCTCTTTCTCTTATGGTGTCTGGTGGAAAGGAACACTTCTCAGCTGGAGTTGGGAGCTGATTTGTCATGCATCTCAACTTTTGAATAAAAGTACTTGATGAGCTTTGGATTGGCAGCCTAGAAAAGAAAAATGGTACGTACGGTCTTTTGTTGAATTTCATAAATTGACATTTGTTGATTTCCGTATATCCATGGTTTTGTCTTCCTTTAATTTGTAGATTAAACTAGGTTTCCGAAATTCAGTTAAAAAAATGTACGTCGCATTCAAAAACTAGTTCCAGGGATCAAATGGTTGTTGAGTTTGTCAATAACAAATGATTAAGTTTTCTTTTATATGATTAAGTTAGTGTCTGTGATGAAAAATTGAACGGTTGTTTAGTGTATGTTATCCTTTACAATAGCCCAGTGTTAGCTTGTGATTACCAGATTGGGATTCTTTGCTTCTCAGAGATGTGGTAACCGAAAATTTCTTTGCCAAGGGTGTAATAAGAATGGAGGGATGTGCGTGTGTCTGTGTGGTTTTCTGAACTAGCTATTCCTTTAAAACATAAATTTCGCAAACAATTTAGCTGTAGAAGAAACTACTAGCTTTTCTGTTCCTAGGTAAAACACAAGGCATATGACAACTTGAACTAAGCATTGAGCAAGAGAGATGAGTGTGTTTAGCATCACACTGTACTTTTGGTGATGGTGATATAAATGTGGTGGGCATACCTGACATAGACTTAGTAGATATGCAACAGCAATAGGACAAAAGGTGTTGGCACATATTTTGTTGGAATAATTTGCCCCTTTATTCTTTTTCCAGTTTTCATACAAAATGATTCAGAAGTAGTCTTCAGAAATGGTTATTGGTGAAGTTTGTGTTTATGATGACATTTTAAATAAATTTTTTTGTATAATTTCATTCCTTTGTATCTTCAACTACAGGGAACACCAGTAAATATCATTGTAGGATCTAATGTCTGGGTTGAAGACCCGGAATTGGCTTGGATTGATGGACAAGTGTCAAAGATTAATGGACAGGAAGCTGAGATCGAGAATACCAATCGGAAGAAGGTGCATTTCCTGTTACTAAACGTGATGTGTTTGTTTTTATCCTTTTCATCACTTGACTGCAAATCAACTAAATCATCAGAAATAACTTTTATGTTTGTTCTTTGGAATTCACCATTGCTTCTAGTATTGGGCTCTAATTTCTATTTTGATGCTATTAAGATTGTTGCCAAATTATCAAAAATATATCCAAAAGATATGGAAGCTCCTGCTGGCGGAGTTGATGACATGACAAAGCTATCTTATCTGCATGAGCCTGGAGTTCTGCAGAATTTAAAAATTAGATACGAACTTAATGAAATCTATGTAAGTTTCCCACCCTTCATTTTGAAAAACTTACTAAGTTCTTATTCAAAATGAGAATCCTTACTCTGTATAACCATGGTATCTGCAATAATATATGCCTTCATTTCTATCATGATAGACTTATACTGGAAATATCCTTATTGCCATTAACCCATTCCAAAGACTGCCCCATCTCTATGATGGTCACATGATGCAACAATACAAGGGAGCACCATTTGGAGAACTAAGCCCTCATGTTTTTGCAGTTGCAGATGTTGCATACAGGTTACCTTCATTTACATGCCATTGCTCAATTTATCAATAAACCAAATATTTACAATTGATTCTTTGAACAAACCAGGGCAATGATTAATGAAGGAAAAAGCAATTCAATTCTGGTCAGTGGTGAAAGTGGGGCAGGTAAAACTGAGACCACAAAAATGCTAATGCGGTACCTTGCATTTCTGGGTGGCCGGGCTGCAACCGAAGGACGTACAGTTGAACAGCAAGTTCTTGAAGTAAGATTGATATCCTACCTTTGATTAGCATTTATATGAAGTTTCAATTACTCGATATTATCTTCTATATATCAAACTCCAGTAGTTTCTTATACAATTCTTACGATGCTTCTTTCTTTTCTGAGTGCAGTCAAATCCAGTTCTTGAAGCATTTGGCAATGCTAAAACTGTTAGAAATAACAATTCTAGGTAAGATACCCTTGCATTTGGGCAATGAAGTAGGATGTTGATTCTCTCTGCCCTTGGCTTGACTTTTTTATCTCCTGGATTTTCCTTATTCACTAGTATACTGCTGAGTCAATATGATGATGAAGACTATATCAGCAATCGTTTGCTGCCATGAATTACTTAACCTCAAGTATCTTCTGATAAATTTACATTGGTGTTCTCTTTAAATTGTGCAGTCGTTTTGGTAAATTTGTTGAAATCCAATTTGATAAGCAAGGAAGAATATCAGGAGCAGCCATTAGAACTTACCTTCTGGAACGGTCTCGTGTTTGCCAAATTTCTGATCCTGAACGGAACTACCACTGCTTCTACCTTCTTTGTGCTGCACCACAGGAGGTAAGATCCTGTTGGAATGCAGATTTCTTTTCATACAACTTCGGGCTAATATTTGTTTATGTTGACAGGAAATTGAGAAGTACAAGTTGGCAAATCCTAAATCATTTCACTATCTTAACCAGTCACGTTGCTACGAACTGGTTGGTGTAAGTGATGCCCATGATTATCTTGCCACAAGGAGAGCTATGGATGTTGTTGGAATAAGCGCTAAGGAGCAGGTAGCCTCTTCCTAATTTCTTTCTAACATGGAACCTTAGAAAGACACTCGTCTCAAACAACCCCCCCACTTTCTCTCTCTCTCTCTCTCTCTCAGGAAGCAATTTTTAGAGTAGTTGCCGCAATTCTTCATCTTGGAAATATTGAGTTTGCCAAGGGAATGGAAGTTGATTCGTCAGTTCCAAAAGATGATCCAGCCAAGTTCCATCTCAAAATGACTGCAGAGCTTCTCATGTATTTATTCTTTCATCTTATTGCCCTTGTAATGTGTATTCCAGTTTGTTTTTCTTTCATATTGTAATATTTGTGATAATAACATTACCTCAGGTGTGATGTTGATGCATTGGAAGACGCATTATGCAAGCGTGTCATGATCACACCAGAAGAAGTTATCAAGAGAAGTCTTGATCCTCAAAGTGCAGCCATTAGCCGTGATGGTTTAGCAAAGACAATATATTCTCGATTGTTTGACTGGTTAGTCACTGGTGTTTAAAACAACATTTTCATATTTACATCTGGTTCATGAACAAGTATCCTAATTACCAGGATAAGCAAATTGTAGAGTGAGAAATAAAATGCTGATGTGATCCTAAGCTACTTGTATTTATACAGGTTGGTGGACAAAATTAATGTCTCAATTGGACAAGATGCTACCTCGAAATCTCTGATTGGGGTCCTTGACATCTATGGTTTTGAAAGTTTTAAGACCAATAGGTAACAACTAATGAACATAATACCATACATAGACTACATGGATGTCCCTATATGTGTACATTCTATGGTAGTTTTGAGCAGTTCTCCCCTTATGGGTTGGCATTATTTTGCAACTTAATTTCAGCATATCGTCCTGTGCAGTTTTGAGCAGTTCTGCATTAACTTCACAAATGAGAAATTGCAGCAACATTTCAATCAGGTAATGCCTCAGATTATTATCTTTAGCTTTCTCTAATGTTTATATTCTAGATTACTATTATTATTGTTATTATTTGAAAATTACGTTTTTCCTGTACATTTTCAGCACGTCTTCAAGATGGAACAAGAAGAATACACAAAAGAGCAGATTAATTGGAGCTACATTGAATTTGTCGATAATCAAGATGTCCTGGATCTTATTGAAAAGGTTATTCCTATTCTGAGTATCAGTTTCAGTGTTTAGTTGATTATCATATCTAAACTGGACAGTAATTCATTAAAAGAACCTGGTTGCCAAGGCTGTCTGGTCAGAAGTTTATTTATAGGCATTGATGGACAAATAGAATAACATGTTGATTTTCAATGTTCTTGTAGTCAACAATAAATTTTATTCTCACAAGTCTTCACGTATGATGTTTTCTTTCACAGAAACCTGGTGGTATAGTTGCTCTCCTTGATGAAGCTTGGTAAGCTATAATTCCTCTGCTTTGAAAGTTCTCGTTCTTTCTTCAAAGGAAGGCAGTCAATGTTCACTTGAGGTTTCATTCCTCCATTGTTTAGAAAAGGTTTTAGAAATGTTTAAGAGTATTAGATATTAGGAACTCCCTATCTAAGGTTTTAGCTGGATGTCCAATAGAGAAAATGAAAAGAAAAGGAAAAGTAAAGAACAGGTCTGAGCTAGATTCTTCATTCTTGCTAACTGCTTTTTTTTTTATCTTTTTACCAGCATGTTTCCAAAGTCAACCCATGAAACATTTGCAAATAAGCTTTATCAGACATTCAAAACTCACAAGCGCTTTATAAAGCCAAAACTTTCTCGCACAGATTTTGCCATCGCTCATTATGCTGGAGAGGTAAATTAACTACCAAAGCAACAATTTATGGAAATATAAGAACCAATTATTTCAGAATTTTACCTTTTGAATACTTTGCTGCAGGTTCTATATCAGTCTGACCAATTTTTGGACAAAAACAAGGACTATGTGGTTCCTGAACATCAAGACTTGTTGGGTGCTTCCAAATGTTCTTTTGTGGCAGGCCTTTTCCCTCCACTTCCAGAAGAGACAGCCAAATCTTCCAAGTTTTCTTCAATTGGCTCTCGTTTTAAGGTATTTTTTTTCACTGTCTTGGTGAGCATGACATGAAGGTCAACTTACCCTAGATAATCAACTATAGAAGTAAAGCTACATGGAAGCTCATGTGGCTTCTTTTATATTCTGCAATGTCAACTTATGCTGCAAGAAGTTGACACTTAAATTTTCTACATTCTAATTGGTGCAGCTGCAACTACAATCATTAATGGAAACCCTAAACTCTACAGAGCCTCACTATATCAGATGTGTGAAGCCAAACAACCTTCTAAAACCAGCCGTATTTGAGAACGTCAACATTATGCAGCAACTGCGCTGTGGTGTAAGCAAACAATGTTCTTTTTCCTTTTTACTTTCTTTAAAAAATATATGTATTTTTATTTCAGCTGCTGCTGACAGTTTCCCCTGTAGGGTGTTTTAGAGGCAATCAGAATTAGCTGTGCTGGATACCCTACTCGAAAACCCTTTTTCGAATTCATAAACCGATTTGGACTTCTTGCACCAGAGGTCTTGGAAGGAAAGTAAGTATAATCTCTCAGGTTTTTCAGTTCAAGTGGGAAGAGAAGTTTTTGGCCATAATATTTCAACTTTCTGATTAAACGTGGTGGATCTACATTCTGAGCCTGTTCTTACTTATGAGCAGCTATGATGAAAAAGTTGCCTGCACAAAGATTCTGGAAAAGAAGGGTCTTAAAGGGTTTCAGGTAAAATGAGCTGTTCCTTTACAAATTCAGAGCCTTCTTATAATTAGAGAATTGTTAGTGCAACTAGTATGCACTCCAAATTGCCAAAGCTTTGACCAGTCTTACAGCCGCTCATGCATGTTGCGGCAGAGTTACTAGGAAATGTAATTTAACCTTAAAGCATGGACTTAATCCGCATTTGGACTTAATCATATCATGCATACATGGACAGTATATGTGTCAACATCCAGGCACATGCTGAGGGTAGAGGCATTTGTTCGATTTTGCAGATAGGTAAAACAAAGGTGTTCCTAAGGGCTGGTCAGATGGCTGAGTTAGATGCACGAAGAGCCGAAGTACTCAGTATTGCAGCTAAAACTATCCAGCGGCGTGTACGAACCCATTATGCTCGGAAACGGTTTATTGCGCTGCGACAGGCAACCATAGTTATGCAATCGATATGCAGAGGTGAGTCACATGAAAAATTCATTAGAACCAATCAGGCCTATAACTACATGCAGTGCTATTTAGTTCTTAGAGAGAATCTTACAAAAGGATGTAGCTATGATTTTCCTTTACTTTCTTTTCTCACACAACTCTTTTGGGGCCTCAGTTTAACTTGCTAATTAATTTCCTTCAATATTTTTTGGTATAACTTGTAGGAAGTCTGGCTTGCAAAGTCTTTCACTGCATGAAAAGAGAGGCAGCTGCTGTGAAAATTCAGAAGAACACGCGCAAATACCAAGCCAGATCAACTTACAACAGACTCCATATCTCAGTTCTTGTCTTGCAAACAGGTTTAAGAGCAATGGCTGCTCGTAAAGAATTCAGATTTAAAAGGCAAACTAAAGCAGCAACCATCATTCAGGTTGTATAGAATTATCTTGCATGATTCTTTTTTTAATCAGTGAAGCTCTTTGTGGTCAGGACTCAGGAAACATCTGATATGCAACTTTACTAATTTTCTATTGCCTTTGAAAAAAAAATATATCTAAATGAAAAATTGCAGGCGGTTTGGCGTTGTCATAAAGCTGTCAAATACTTTAAGAAGCTCAAGAAGGGTTCAATAGTCGCACAGTGCCGAATGAGGGGAAAAATTGCAAGGAAGGAACTTAGGAAGCTCAAAATGGTAACTATTGAACTCTCTCAACACTTTTTGTGATCCAATCATCAACTTATAGTTCAGTAGCCAAGATGAGAGGAATATGTAAAATTTAGTGCATACAGGACAGTGCCTAGTTTCTGTTTAATTGACTGAAGGTTATTGTCAGATGTGAGTGATTGAGCCGAGGGGATGAGGCCCATTTCAATACTGGGATATACTATGGAATAAAGAAGAATATATTGTAGGTTTGAATAAAATAGTAATGGACATGAATAAATTAGATAAATTAGATGAAGCCTTCTATGTAGACATGTAGATCGTCCACTGATGTTTTGGATTGATGATGTACTGATTATTGCCATAAATAATATTATGCACATTTTCTGTTTCTAGCTGACATTTTTAAAATCTTCTTTTTATTTATGATATTCATATTATCTCCAATTTTCTTCAGGCTGCAAGGGAAACAGGAGCACTTAAAGAAGCAAAAGATAAGCTGGAAAAACGAGTGGAGGAACTAACTTGGCGTCTACAGTTGGAAAAACGTTTAAGGGTAATCTCTGTGTCTTGCAGAGTGATTTAGTTTCATAGAGAAGATGCTGTGAAAGGCTGATGAATACTTTCTTCGTCTCAACTTATGGCTCACGCCAAAAGCTACTATGCTAATGCATTGGTGTACTTTCGACAAATGCATCTGATAGAAAATTATGCTACTTTAACATCCATATATGTTACCTTTTATTTTGCATCCTTGCTCTTGATGAGGCTCATAGATTCTAATTTAGGTTATGCATGCAAATGTTGTCACGCTAAAGTTCATGTCATGTTTGCAGACTGACCTAGAAGAAGCAAAAGCACAAGAGATAACGAAATTGCAGAATTCATTGCAAGAAATGCAGAACAAAGTTGATGAAACAAATGCCTTGGTTGTCAAGGAACGAGAGTCTGCAAAGAAAGCTATTCAATATGCGCCTCCTGTTGTTAAGGAAACCCAAGTTGTTGTTGAGGATACTCAGAAAGTTGATTCTCTAACTGCAGAAGTGGACAGTTTGAAGGTAAGAATGTTCAATACATTAAACAGCACCTATAATACTCTGTCTTTGAGTTTACAAGGCTTTAACATGTTTCAGAATGCTTTATGTATTTGTTGTCATCTTTTATTGTCGATATATGTAGCAGTAGATTCTGGTTTTTTTTCAATTACTTCATCTTGACCTTGGCTCTGTGCTACCTGCCAACTCCCCACCTCCCCAGGCCTCTTTGGAGGCAGAGAAACAAAGAGCAGATGACAATGAAAGAAAATACAATGAAGCTCAAACATCAGGTGAAGAACGACGCAAGAAATTAGAAGAAACAGAGAAAAAAGTTAGTCAGCTCCAGGAAAATTTGACCAGGTAATATGACGTCTAAAGCATGAGCTTCCTACATGTTCATGTCTTCTTTTAAATGAATTACCAATTCTAACTTGCCTGATGTGGTTTACTGTATATTTAAACTTCCTTTATTAGGCTAGAAGAGAAGCTTACCAATTTAGAATCAGAAAACCAAGTATTACGCCAACAAGCTGTGTCCATGGCGCCTAATAAATTCCTTTCTGGACGGTCCAGATCAATTATTCAGGTAATTTTCAATGCAAACCATGGAATGCTGTAATTTTCAGATGGTTAAAATTTTCTTCTTGTTTGATGATTGGCAGAGGGCAGCTGAAAGTGGTCACATTGGAGGGGATGCAAAGACAACTATGGTAAGTTTCTCTTCAACGTCAAGCAAGATGATGCAGTGGAAGGCTATTTCTTAACTTTTCTGTATGTTAAATTAATCACCTGGTAAAATGGATCAGGATCTGCATAGTTCTTCAATAAACCACAGGGAGTCAGAATTGGAGGACAAGCCACAGAAATCACTGAATGAAAAACAGCAAGAGAATCAGGAATTGCTCATTCGATGTATTGCACAACATCTAGGCTTTGCAGCGAACAGGCCTATTGCTGCCTGCATCATATACAAATGCCTTTTGCAGTGGAGATCATTTGAAGTTGAGCGGACTAGCATTTTTGATAGGATTATTCAGACCATAGGGAATGCCATTGAGGTTTGGAATTCCCATGCTTAATGTTTCTGGTATTTTGGTTTTCTGTTTATTCTTAACACAAAACAAACCTCGTTAACTTGAATTCAGACCCAGGATAACAATGATATATTGGCCTATTGGTTATCCAATGCCTCAACACTTCTATTACTACTCCAGCGCACACTGAAAGCCAGTGGTGCTGCTGGGATGGCACCACAACGACGTCGATCGTCATCAGCTACCTTGTTCGGAAGGATGACACAAGTATGTAATTCCTAGTCTCTTGTCCACATTGAATATTGCAATTCATGAATTTTCATTTCCTCAGTTTCTTCACATTTTTGCAATTGTTTTCCTCTAGAGTTTCCGTGGAACTCCACAAGGAGTGAATCTTTCCTTAATCAATGGTGGAATGAGTGGTGGAGTGGACAGTTTACGACAAGTTGAAGCCAAGTACCCAGCTTTGCTTTTCAAACAGCAACTCACGGCATATGTAGAAAAGATTTATGGGATGATTCGAGATAATTTGAAGAAAGAGATTTCTCCGTTGCTTGGATTGTGCATCCAGGTCCATTAAAATGTTCATCTACAGAATAGGAAACAAATATTCTTGCATGAATTTTTCAAGAAGTAATACTAAATTTGGAACTTTAACAGGCACCAAGAACATCCAGGGCAAGCTTGGTTAAAGGATCATCACGATCAGTTGCCAACACTGAGGCCCAGAGAGCTTTGATTGCTCACTGGCAAGGGATTGTCAAGAGCCTCGGAAACTTCTTAAATACTTTAAAAGCAAATCATGTGAGTTCCCCCTTCTCTTACCTTACTCACATTCACATAATAATATGATAGTGATAAGTCTTTCTTCTTCTCAACATATATAGCCTATTTCTCTCACACACATTGTTCCTCCCTCTTTACAGGTACCTCCATTTTTAGTTCGTAAGGTGTTCACACAGATATTCTCCTTCATCAATGTTCAGCTATTCAACAGGTATTAAGACGAGAAGAGACGAGATGAGAGTGTTTGTATACTGTTTAACATTCCCTAAACTTTTCTAAGATAAGAGTATTTTCTGCAGCCTTCTATTAAGACGAGAGTGCTGTTCATTTAGTAATGGAGAGTATGTTAAAGCTGGGTTGGCTGAACTGGAGCACTGGTGCTATAAGGCAACAGATGAGGTACCTTGAATTTAGTTCCTCTTCACGCTGTGCTGTGCGATAATTAATATACACTCACTTACTAAATAAAAGAAAATGCAGTATGCAGGTTCAGCTTGGGATGAACTCAAGCATATCAGGCAGGCTATTGGTTTCCTGGTATCTTTCATTCATTATTTTCCGTTTCTACTGCCAGTAATAGTAGTTACGTTTTATAATGGTGAAGTTACTGTTAGTCCTCAAATTTTTACGTTTTCTGTTCAGGTCATACATCAAAAACCAAAAAAGACGCTTGATGAAATAAGCCATGACCTGTGCCCGGTAAGTGATGTGTATGCAAGGATAAAACAAACTATACTTTAGTCTATTAACCTCTCCCTCGAACTTCTTTTTTAACAGGTCCTCAGTATACAGCAGCTATATCGTATCAGTACAATGTACTGGGATGACAAATATGGCACACATAGTGTGTCCTCGGATGTAAGTTTTTATGGATGCCATTACTCAGCTAGGTTCGAGTCATCTTCGTCACCCAGCATTAAAATAAATTACAATACACTGAACTGAACTGAAAACATGCATCTAAAAACTTACTTGCACATTTTTTTCTCTTTTTTCAATGGTCCATCTAGGTTATATCCAATATGAGAGTGTTGATGACAGAAGATTCCAACAATGCTGTCAGTAATTCTTTCCTGTTGGATGACGATTCCAGGTTATGCAAACATTTAACCATGTCATCAACCTGATTCAGCTTTTCTTTCGCTTCTCTTCTCTTCTCTTTTGTTTCATTTGTTTTGTTACTTCATTTGGAGTTGCATTTCATAAGTTAACTGATTGAAACCTTAAGAAAGGAAACTTTTGGTAACAATTACAAAATAACTTTCTTTGGTTCTGCTTTTGGTAGGGCTTGTTATCATTGCAGAACATATCTCATTCCTTCCTCGTTTACCTCTATATCCTGGACATTGGACTGACACTATCCATATTCATTGGTAACCCTTTATGCTGCAGCATTCCATTTTCAGTTGATGACATATCAAAATCGATGGAACAAATAGACATCTCCGACATTGAACCACCGCCACTTATTCGTGAGAACTCCGGCTTTAGTTTCTTGTTGCCACGTACAGATTGATTACTTTGCTGCTGATGGATGGATGGATGGATGGATAGATGGTCTGTCTATGAGAATGAGCCTGTCTTTACTGTCAAGTGGTAGATTCAACATGCAACCTCTCCTAATTCCCTCATGGATATTAATTAATTACGGGGTTGTACATTGTTCATGATCATGCTTTGCCCCACAAAATTTTTCTTTGAATCTACATTTAGATACATGAATTGCATCAAATGGAAACGGGGATGTTAATGCTATTGTTCCCCGCCAATGCAAGTCGAATGTTTTGTGTTATGTTGTACAAGTAGCTGATTTTAGGGATGAAATTAAAAGCTTAGAGCATTTTTTTTTTTCTTCGTCAATAAATAGCTTTTTTTTTTGCAGTTTAAAAGATGAACAATCTCAGCCAAGACCAAAGAACATCTTCATCATGTATTTACATATTGACACAAGAACCAAATGAAACAGAATTATTCATTTAATTATAAGACTTCCTTAGTGAATTACTTATAGTTTAAATTTATCAAATCATGCAGAAAGATACATTGCTTGTGACTGGAGAGTAGATGCCATGTAATGTAACACGAGAAACTGAAGACGCTATTCATCCATATACGTACAATTAAAATAACAGGGCATGCAGGAACAAGAGTTCCATGAAAAAATGACTAAAGAATAGCATCTCGATAGGCTAAGGCTTATTCTGTTTACCATGAAAAATGGAATGCCTTTTCCCTCCTTTTTAAGTTTTTTTTCTTTTCTTTCATGACCTTGAAGAGATTCTAACTTGCTGAACTTGGGATGAAGTTACCCTTCACACTGGACTCATGTTGGAACACCCCAACCTGACATACGATTTGACTAACTGGAAGTGAAAACATACAGATTCTACAAATTTAATGCATCTAATGGGTTTTTAAGCAACTCAAATCTGATTGCCAGACTGGAATGGAATTCAACTCAAATCTGATTTTCAAATTTTCTTTTGGTAGAAATAAAAGCACTAAATTTCGAAGAACAAAATTAGTATATGACTAACAACTGGCGATTGAGAAAAGAGATTGAAGAAGAAAACCTGTTCCTCAAGTTGGCTGATTTTCTCGGAGGTATTTCCTGGAGTTTAATAATAACAAAATAAAAAACATAAATAAAAAATATTGCAACACAAATTATTTTTCAAATCTCCAAAGCATTTTCCCACTCCTGCTTTCAAATCCCAAGTTTTCTAAGGTTGTTTCAGCAGCTCAAGGATAAAAGCTAGGGTTTTTTTGTTGACCACAAGTTTGGTAAATGTGATCTTACCTTTGTGAAGCAATGTGAAGCTGAGACAGGTACAGAGAGGGTCATGGACACAAGGCACGCCATTCAAGCTTTCAACTTTGATTGTATGGAATTGAATTGATGAGGAGTTGGATTGAGGAGAATTAGATTTCGGATTCCTATTGAAGTTGTTTATTAAATCATATGGATTGATGAGAGTTAGATGTCGGATTCCTATTAAAGTTGTTTACTAAACTATATGGAATTAGGGGGAGAGTGGTACTAATTATTAAATGTCCTCAATGTTGGATTAAGATAGATGGCAAATTTGGAATTTTAAAAATTGTGCAAGGATATAGAATACCACCTCCCACATAATAATTGAATTCCTCCGAAATCAAGAATTCAATTCCTAATTTTATGTGGACCTCACTTACTTTTGAATTGCTTGATGTGAAGTAAACACAAAATCCTCCATATGCAAAATTCAATTCCTAATAAGAATTCCAATTTCTGATTAGTAAACACGCCATGAGTCTCTTTCTTCCTGCTTACTCTCTTAAGTTCAGTGTCGATACTTGGCGGTAATAAACCACTCTCAACGGTGTCGTACCTTTTAAAGTTTCGCCCTATAATTACCAGATCCAACCCATTCGGAGGCCCATTCATAAGTCAAAGCCCGTAGCATGAATTCCAAGCACAAGGAAGAAGTATGGGCCTGAAGGTCCAACAATGAAGGCCTTTCATTCTTTTTCTTTTAATACAAATGAAATTGGTGGAGAAGGATTGGTACAATAAGGGCACCTCAGACTTTTCATACATCATTTGCGTTTTAATTCTAAATCAGAAGAACCTCCAAAAATAAATTATATACATTCAAATGCCGCCATTCTTTATAATATAAATTAAGCCAGTCATAGTCATAACTCGGATCTTTGAAGTTTGACCTGGGAAGACAAGATTAAGTTGCATGCATCACTTAACCCAGAAAAAAAAATTAATTAATTAAAGAAACAAAACAAAAGGAGATGGAATGGGGTTAATTAGCAAAAGGAATTGACAAATTTGAAAATAAAATTAAAATAATCATATATGAGTCCATGTCCTTATCGTTCTAGAAAAATATTTGTAATTAATTGGCCATGGAGGCATTTGCCTGCACGCTACATATGGACCACCTTGACCAGTTCGTTCGTTCGTTGCTACTAGGTGATCAAGCAATCTTATTTTAAACAAACTGTAACACAAGTTTTGTTTTGTTTTTTTCATTTTGGTACAATGATTGTTTGCTAAGTAGAGATAAAGTCAAAGATAGACGTGCATGATTCTGCTCCCCAGGACTAGAAGGAGTTGTGCCGTGGTGGTGGTGGTGGTGGTGGTGACAAGACAAGGACTGCAAATTAGGGTTTGACCAAGATTGGCACGTGATGATATACTTTTGTGTGGAAAAAACACCAATCAATCTCTGCATTATTATCCAAAGGAACGTATATATCTTTTTCTCTTTTAATTTACTGATACTGATATCATCATATGACAGAAAGAGAAAAGAGAAAGTTAAAAATAATTTGAAGCTGGCTCTGGACTTGTTCGTCATAGTTTTAATATAATTTGACAGAAAGTAAAATAATTAGAAACATCAGTTTCCTTTTATAGGTAATGTTGGGTTGGGGTATTATTTCTATACATTAGAAATCAGTATATCAATTATAGTATTGGGAGACTTTGGAAAAACATAAAGGAGAGAGAAATGTCAATGTGATGTGAAGCTGTAACTTTCAAATGTGACTTGATTAGATATTTTAAGCAGCCATTTTAGAACATAATTGAATATGTACGCCATCAGTGTTTATAGTCTACTGCACAAGGTCTTTGCAGCAACCTTTTTTCTAGTCCATGCCTTAGTTTTCCACATTTGTCTATATGTCCCTAGCTCCTTTCCTGGTTGCTTCCATTCATTCAAGAACCTCCACATATTTCAAGGGATTTAAAGGTTGAATTGACCCACATGCAATTCATTAACGGTATTTTTGCCCATATATATGTAAGGAGGCCCAAGTAGATACATATCCAAAAGCTCTCTCTCTCTCTCTCCCCCATTTCTCTGTAGTCGAAAAATGGAACAACATAGAAATCACCATAGTCATCACGAACCTCAACCTGATCAAAGCAAAAAACCAACAAAAGCTAAAGCACCCATGATTAAGTATATCTCCAGCCCTATGATGGTTCAAGCCAGCAATGCTTCTGAGTTCAGAGCAATTGTTCAGCAACTCACAGGCCAAGATTCCAATATTGCAGTTTTTGATGATCAACAAGGCACTCATGATGAACAAGCCAGCTGGGTTTCTTCTTCTAACCATGAAGCTTCAAAAGCAGATAGGGTGATGAGGTTTTCAGAAGGCCCTCCTCTCCCTGTAGCTGTTCTTGATCAGCTTAGTGATGAAAATAACTTATGGGAAGCAGTTGCAGAAAGCTTGTCTACTTTCCAACCTCCTTGTGTTTATGTATGAGAGTTTTCTCTGTTTTTTATTTTCTCTTGGAGATCAGCTTATGTGATTGTGATGTTTCACTACTCACTAGCATTTTTGCACATAACCTTATATATTCTTTCCTTCCATATCAGTGAAGAATGAACCAAACTTAATGTATTTCTTGCTAGCAAGCAGCCGCACTCGAATGATCATTCAAAATTAAGGCATTCAGAAGATATATATTATGTACTAAAATCACGAATATCACTTGCTGAATTGTATCTTTTTATTTTGGTTGTATTTCCTTTCGATAGAATTTATAATATTTAGGTTTGAACTGAATGAATGAAAATCGTTCTGCATCCAATCTCCACTGTCATTAGATGTTCTTAGAGAATTAGTCACAAGTTCTGGTTTCTTCTTTTCGCTACAAGGTTTGAACCGGCCCCAGTTAATCCCATGGAGACTGAGCGGAACAAGTCATGTAAAACAGTATATAAGGCCTTTTACTATGTCAACTTCAGTTCACCAGAAGTCGATTTTTGTTTATAACCCCACCCCCTCCCCCCGCCGAATTGAGCACAAAAATTTGAAGTAACATAAAAGGGAAACCGCCTTAAGAAGATGGCCTACAAATTTACATGATATACTACCATAACTGCATTGTCTCACTAAAAAAAACCATAGTTCAAGGTTTGAGGGTAAACACTCAAAGATAAACACAAGCCCTTTAAGCAGCAAGTCGTCTGTTTTTTTCCTCTCTTCTGCGCCTAACTGGATATTCCTCACCTAATTCTCTAAGTTCAGATGCTAACAGACCAGTATGTCTGTCATTTTACCTCTTAATTCCCATCATCAGCAGATTTCAGGTAAAGAGTCTCGCCACCATCTCCGCCATGGGCTCCAGAGCTCCCAACACCCCCCATATCTTGCTTACTCCCACTGGCCATCCTCCTATGCAGGCCTTCTCCAGGGGAGCTGCGTCCATAATCAGCAAACCCTCCAGCCCCAAATTGACCACTGCCTCCAGCATTATTTGCCTCACTCTGGAGCATGTGAAGTCCTGTGCTTCCTCCTGCACTCATGGCAAGTTGGCTGTGCAGGGCTTGTTGTTGCAGAGCTGAAAATGGCTGCTGGGAGTACAACATAGAAGAGCGTGCAGCCATGAGCGATTGTGGTGTCATCTGTTGAGCTGCTTGTTGCTGCATGTAATGTGCTCCTGGTTGCATAATGCCAGTGGAAGGGTACTACAGAGAATTTCGAACACAATCAGGGAATCTACAATATTTGCAACACTGATTTACGCAGTTGAACTACGTGACAGAATCAGTCAGAACCCTTCAAGTTATAAAACTTTTTGGAAATGAGGTTTGTACCTGAGGATGCATGGTAGGAGGTTGGGGTTGAGAATCAGCAATGGCAGCCAGGTACATCAAATTTCTCTGTAGCTTTGCTTGGTTCCTAAAACAATTTCAAAAGAATTACTGAAATGTCTAGTGCTTTAAACAAATAAATTTTCAATTTATAGCCATTAAACTTCCAAAACAATGTTTAAGTGTACTGAGCTGAATGCAGAGCTTCCAAAACTAAATTAAGCACGTCATAAGATTGAATGGACG